CTGAAAGGGCCTGATGCCTAAAAAAGAGACCGGCAAAGCCTGAAAGCTGGAGTCAATCTGACACCAAAACAGATTGTAACAAAAACCAAAAACGGGGGGGGGGGGGGGGAGGGAATGCCTCAAGCTAGACCTGTTGTGGGGAGTTGCTGTGGGACTGCAATGAGAAGTCATCGGACAGAAGTGCTGTCTCTGCTGTAAAATGAAAGCTCCAGTGTATGGGGAGACTTTGAACACTGTTGGGGTAACAGGTTCATTATTTTGGCTAATACCAGCTTTTAACCATGCAACAATGTTAAGACACTCAGAGTCTTTGGAGGTATGAATGAGCAAATGCTGTGTTTCCATGACACTTTTAAGGACATGTTTTATTTTTCCCTATTAAAAGAATACAGCTATTTCTTAAATGTGATAAATCTCACATGTTTTTTTCCATGGAAGCAATTGAGTATTGTATAGTAATGCCTAACAGTCAACTTCAAGAATTAGTATTATGGCCCCCAAATCGAAGCACATTGTTAACTAGAGGTTCATGATCAGAAAGTGGAATGGGCAGGGGAACCATAATGGTATCAGTTGTACTCAGCCCAGAATTGCAAAAGTGAGTCTTACTTAAGCACCCAGAATTTATTCAAGTGTTTCCTTAAAGATTACTTCAAATGATAATGAAAACACAGTTTGTGTAAAAGTTTGATGCGTGAGAAGTGTTTGCAATGGTTTGATGTAAGGCAGAAAACACCACCACCCTGTGCTTAACTGAATTTTCCTTGGAAAGAATCTGTGGAACCCAGATGATAATACTAATGATGACACACCGGTAGAAGAAAGGTATTTGAGAGTGAGCTTGAAATGAAGAATTCCTCTTCTGTCTTAATGACTAAGGACATGAGTTTATTTGAAACGACTTTGGACCAACGTAAAGAAAACTAGAATCCCAAATACCAGACATCCTAACTTTAACTTTCTTTATATCGGTTTTTGTAATAAATTAGCTTAGCCTAATGTAAAATAATTGGTTATTAATAGGGTGTTATATCAGAATAATACACATGACATCATTTTTAATAATCCTCAGAGAACAAATAACATAAAATACCTCACAGATCCCTGTGAGATTTGTAGTGCATGTATATTCCATTTTCTTAGAGAGAATGGAAGCCTAAGGTTGCAAATTTCTTGTCACTGGGCAGGAACTCATTTGCATATTGGGGATTGGAGAGGACATTTTGGTTCAGGGTAGCTCTGGAATGAGACCTACAGCATTACACATGCTGGCATGACAGTTGGAGATACGCTTAGCAGAGGAGTATAGACATGGTGTGTGCTAGATAGACTCTGGGGTCTCCCTTCAGCACCAAAAAGAAAAAAAATCACTTAGTTCCAAGTTATGAATGCATACATTGTTAGCACTCACTCCCTAGGACATGAATGCAGTGTAAGTCTTCATTTCTTTATATTTTTTAATTATGTGAGGAATGTGTGGAAGCACCTAGAGACCAGAGATAATGGACTGCCTTGGAGCTGGAGTCACAGGGGCTTGCGAGCTGCTCAGTATGGGTGCCGGTACTCTAACTCAGTCTGTAAGTTGTGGGCACCGCTGTGTGTGTTGTCTGTGGAGCTGACTGGCCATTTGTCTGGATGAATAACCAGGCACCAGAACTTGGCAGTGCCTGGATATTCAGTGCTTTTTTAGTACTTCTAAGCATTTGAATGGACTGAGAACTAGGGTTTGAAAAGTCAAGAAGATGATGGAGAACCGATAAAAGAGAACAGGGAATGAGAGGAAAAATAAAACCCAAAAACACGAAAGGGAAGAATGACACCCTTAAAGGCAAGTGTTCAGGAAAGGGTTCCTCGGCTGTGCAAAGCAGTGCTTGTTCAGTGAAGAAGATGAGAACACAGCTGACCAGTCCCTTTGTCAGCTCGAAGGTTACTGCTGACCCTGGCAGGAGTAGGAGACTCGAACGGAGCTGGCTGTGACTGAAGGCAAGCTCCACCATGTCTTGCTCCTTGTTACTATTGTTATTGTTGTTATTATTAAGATTGCAGCAACAACGTGTTTGTATTGATGGAGTTGATCTAGAAAAGGATGGAAATGAGAACGGAAGGAGTGCCAGAGGACAGCTGGAGGAGAAAGGCTTTAACTAAGAGGAAGAGGTCCTCACAAGACAAAGGGCTCAGAGAGGAGCGCAGCTCACCTGCTGAGATGGGGAGGGGAGCAGCACCATGGGAGTTGGTGGCTGGGGGTCTCCATCTCATCAAGACTTCCTGTTGACCTTGAGCAGAGGAATGGAGGACCTGAAGGTCTCAAAAGACAGAACATTGAAAACAATCACAGCTGAAGGATGGGAATTGTCATAGGGTTGGTAGACTTAAATGGCCAATAGACCATGACTGCTTCTTTTGAATCTCCCAGCTTCCTTGGGTGTAGGGTATATAGACAAGGGGTTCAGTGAACACCAGGCTATTGTTTGTTTTTCCCTAGATGAATTAAATGAAGAGAAAAAGAAGAAAAGGAAGCTGGGGGCACATGTAAGATTCTGTGATATCTAGATTGGGGAATAAACAAGTGTGTTGAGCATGGGCCTTCATGGGCAGCTCTGAGGCACCAAACTCCCACCTGGTCAATTTTTTACCTATTATATGCTTTAGCATTGCTAGGAGCTTTGGTAGCTGGGGCAGGAGTGAGCTGTGACTCCAGTCTCAAAGGAGTGTCCTGTGACCCTTCATCCTACCTCCAAGAGGGAAATATTAACAGCCCCATTACCACAGACCTAGCTATCTGCTGTGTGGGTCTGTTTATTTCGTTGCCATGACTGTGAGCCAAGGTCTTCAGAAGGTCATCATGATTGCTACATAGTGGTGCTGGTTATGTAGCCCAGAGGAAACTGCCACATGCATTCCAAGGGCAATGCTCTCTTGGGCCACTCTGTTCAGCCTCGGTACTGCTGTTTGATTCTGTAGCTGGCCTTATGCCCCTGCTCAGTGTGTTCAGTCTCAGTTTCAGGAATTCTAAAGGGCCTATAGACCTCTCGTGTTATATGTTCATGGCTCTGGTTTCTGTGGTGGGCCAGAGGTTAGCACTGCCGGAGTCTTGGGGTGGAAGGCTGCATGGAAGGGTGGTCCTTTGGCGCCCATGTTCTGCCTTGTTTGCCGCATAGGTGAAAATGATCTTTAACTTGAACTCAGCCTTACTTTAAAAATCTTACTTTTTTTTGTATGTCAAGATCTTTCTTTATAAATTAACGGAGCAGATGAAGTCACTGGTGGTTCTTAAGTGCTGTGTGTCCCCTAGGTGAGGAATCCAGAACTAGGGGGAGAGTATTGTAGGAACACCCGGTAGGGAAGATGGTAGCTTGTCACCCTTCTGTCAACCTTAGGGCCTAGGGAATTTATGAAATCCCTGAACAAACTCCGGTAGCTTAAGGCTCTGTGTAAGCTGTAAAATGCACACTCAACACACGATACTTTTCATGAAGATTAAAGAATCTTCAAGTGCAAGTGACAGCCTAGGTTGACAAATGATTTTAGTCCTAGTGCTGTGTCTGTCTTCAGAGAGATCTGGCCTCACCGTGGTTTTAAGTTGACATCCAGACAACAGAGCTCTCTGATTACATTTAATAGGAAACATTAACAAGCCCCATATTCCGCATTTTTGCTGCAACTCTAGATTAACCTGTACCAAGTAAAGCTTTAACTATTGTGTAGCCTGGGAGGTCCTTGCTCAGGTGGATCTGTCTACATCTGTGTGGGCTGGATGAACCCTGGGGCACTGGAGAGGCCCACTATGGTAGGAATGATGCTTGGGCAGCCAGCTCTAGTCAAGTCCATGATGCTAAGGTATTAGGAAGGAATTCCAGGGCTCAGAAGCTCCACCCTGTTTTTAGTGAATACTACATGTATGAGGAACCATTATCCTAGATTAGTACATGACAGATACCTGCCAGTAGTAGACTAAGCCCTAAAGAGTTTTTCTCTTGTTTTTCCCTTCCTCCATTCTCTTCCTTCTTCCATTTTGACAGGGTCATATGCATCTCAGGTTGACCTTGAACTCTCTAAGTAGCTAAGGATGACCTTGATTGTCAACCAACGGGTGTCAGTTTTTTCCTTCCATCTTGTGGGGTCTAGCATCAAACTCAGGCCATCAGATTTAGCAGCAAGCACCTTTATCCAATGAGCCATCTTACCCACCCTAATCTTGAACTTCTCATTCTCCTTCTTCCAATTCCTGAGGGCTGGGATTACAACATGTAGCAGCATTCCCAATTGATGTGGTGCTGGAGATTGTATCCAAGGCTTCATGACTGCTAAATCAAGTATTCTACCGGCTGAACTATGTCCTTCACCCACCCTAAAGATGTGACCCAGAGTACTTGTGGGTACCTGTGTGAGACTGAGCATTAGGTATTGTCATGGAAACTGAACCACACACTATTATCAGGAGAAAGGAGATTTTAAAAAATGCCCTGACTGCATGCTGTGAATACCTCACAAATATAATGAAACAAGACTTATTTTCTATGTAGAAGCAAGTGTTCTAGATGTCTAGGATAGAAGATAACTTGAAAGGGAAGAGATGGTATTGCTGGCTTCTCTCCAAAGAACTGTTGTCTCAGCCTTTCCCTTGGGTCATGTGGGTGATACTACAAATCCTACACAATTTTATGGTAAATTGAAAATTACTAGGAATTTCTATTTACTGGAATTTTTATGTTATATTTTATGATTTAAAATACCTTTTATAGTAACAGACAATGAAAATACAATTAAAAGTTATATTTCTTCCGGTTTTATGGGATAGATACAAAGTTAATGCTTAATCTTTACTGTTTAGGGATTAATGCTTGACATTTTTTCTATTTTCTGGTAAGCCTAGAATTTTATGATACAATATGACAGTAAACTTTACTTATGACACAGTGCATTATATTTGCATGAGATGTGACACATTTTTATTAAGTAAAAATTTCCAGTATATACACACAGGCACATATGTACACACACACACACACACACACACACACACATACACAGGTTATATATCTTTAGTAAAATGTTCTAAAATCCAAATGCTCTTTCATTTGTGAATTTTAGGGCTGGTATGGCACTCCGAAAGTTCAGATTTTAGGGGCTGGTAAGATGGCTCAGCAGGTGAAGGTTCTTGCTTCCAAGTCCAATGATCCAATTTTGATCCCCGGGTCCTACATGAGGGAAGGAGAGAACTGAATCCCATAGACTGTCCTCTGACCTCCGTGTGTGGGTAGTGGCATGTGCCCCACCATCCTTCACCAAATAAATAAATAAATGTAATTTTTTTGTTTTGTTTTTCGAGACAGGATTTATCTGTATTGTTTTGGAGGCTGTCCTGGAACTCACTCTATAGACCAGGCTGACCTTGAACTCACAGAGATTCACCTGCCTCTGCCTTTTGAGTACTGGGATTAAAGGCGTGCGCCACCAATGCCCGGCAATAAATGTAATTTTTTTAAAGTTCAAAAAATTTTGGGTTTTAGAACATTCGAATGTTCAGATTTGTCATATTCTGATAGTCTGTGCAAATATTTTAAAATTTGAACCATTTCTGAATATATTCATTTTAGATAAACAACATATAAACCAATACATATACACATGTAGATATAGTCATGTATATACATATGTGCATATATGTACACACACATATGTGTGTATATATATATATATATATCTGTGTGTGTGTGTGTGTGGCATATTTCTCCTCCTTCTTTTCCTTCTCCCCTTCTGCAGTGCTGGGGATTGAACCCAGAGCCTTTCAAATACTAGGAAGGTGCTCTATACCTAGCTCATATAACACCAAAATCCCTTTTCTTACACCTTTGTTTTTGTTTGAAATCAAGTTCAGCGACTTCCAGATAGATTTTTACTCTGAGCTCACGAGCTGTGGACTCTCATGGTGAATTATTGGTGACTGATGCAGGGTGCTCAGGACATTTGCACCGTTACACTTTTCTCCTCACCAAGCAGAGATAATGCACCTTAGGGACAGATTAGGGCAAAGGTTTTGGGTCAGGGGAGGGTAAGTTAGAGTTTAGGAACATAGCCCCAGTGAGCCCTGCCTCTACAACTGGGCAGTCACAGAGGAAGGAGATGTCTGGTCCGAAGGGAGCTTGCACAGGTGTGCATGTGGCTTGTCATGGACTCCTTAGAATCAATTGCTGAGAATCGATAGGTCTTGGATCAGTGTCACCTTTATCTTCAAAATTCAATGTGTAAATTGGGGGTGGTGCTACACACCTGTAATCCCCATTCTCGGGAGGAGGCAGGAGGTTTTCTTGTTTACAGCCATGCTGGGCTACATAGTGAGACTTCATCTTAAAAATTCATTCTATGTACACCCGTTTTAGTAAAATATGTTGATGCACATCCACAAGAGTGCAGAGACACCAAACAGATGTCTAAATTTCCCCATGTCAGCCAAGAAGGTGTGCCTTCTCTTAGGGCTGAACTAGACTGTGCTTCTACAGTTCAGTCATCCTGAACAAAGAAAAGATCAGTGCAGACAAGTCCTGGGATAGCCTTCTGTCTCTTCAGTGCTCAGGGGTTTTGTTGCAGATAGAAGTGTGAAGGATGCAGATTTCCAACCCCAGTGTTTCGTAGTTTGGGACTTGATGATGACTGTCATCAAAGTGAGACTACATTTATGCTCAGTGTTACCTCAGTTGATATCCAAGTTCCTTCTCAGCCTTTCCCCTTCTTTTTGACTTAAAACAAACAAACAAACAAAACCAAAAGCCAAAACAAAATACTAACAACAACCTTTAACTTCCTTACTTAAGAACTTTGGAGCCCAGACAACATGAATGCAAAGTCAATACACATGCTGGAGCAAAAGTCCACTATCTTACAAATAAAAGGGAGTATGTTCTGAAGACACCAGGAAACCTACCTTTGAATCTCTGGGACATTGTCACAGGACTGTGGGGGTGCTGAAGGGACAGATAGGATTGTCTGAAGTTATTAAATGAAGCAGTCCCAGCTCACTGGGACTCAAACTATTCCTACTTCCTTTCCTGTGGGATTGGGGCTGTTGCTGCCGCTTTACAGTTGGTAGGGGCTGCTCAGAGCATTGTCAAGTGCTTAGCAACCCATTCATGAGCACCGTGGGGACAGAAGGTGTGCAAATGAGCCTCCAGTCAGCTTGCAAAAGTCAACAGTGCGGTGCCCTCTTCCCCAGCTCATGCCAAGCACATTCCCAGTTACCCTGCTGCTTATTAAGCAGCCCTGTGAAGTAGGCAGGGGGGCGGGGTGGGAGATGGGGGGGGGAACAGCCTCTTCTTTGAGCAGTATATAGCTTTCACAAGTTGCCAGAATGATTTTGTCCCAGCATTCTCCCTGGAGGTGGCTGCAAATGGAATAATTAAACAAGCCAGGAAGTCCAAGGGGACAAGAAGTAGTGATGGAATGCCTGCTAGTTCTTGATAGCTCAACCATTTCCTTTTTGGACAAGGGCACTCAGTGTGAGTTTACTCAGTGTTGTCAAGTCGGACATTCCAGATTCAGTCTCAAAAGATACGTGAGAGAGAGAAACCTGCCATCTGAGTGGACATGCCAAAGGTGTGCAAGGTTGAAGCTGCCTGTTTACTTCAATGTTCTCCACATAAGCAGTGTCCTGTTTGTGAACATAAATGTGTTGTCATTAGGTACTCTTTAACAATGCATGCTTGTGATGGGGGTCTCACTGCTGCAGAGAGATATGAAAGAAGAAAACTGTCAACACACACACACTTGCACACACACAGCTGCATTTTTACAGATTAGCTGTTTAAGTGGTCAAGGGCAGTTAGGCCTAATTAATGTGAACTTAGCCCCTTAAGTTAATAAACCCTCCCATGGGGCCTATGACTGGAGGGTGAAAGGAAGTTGTCTATTTAATAGCCAATGGAACAGCTCTTGAGTTTTTACTCTGTCAGTTCCTGGATTTTGCATGCTTGCAATGAATCACTATTTTGATTTGTTTTATTCACTGCTTTTTATTCTTTACTTTGAACACTTCAATAAAAAAAACTTAGGCCATTTTTTGCTGAATGAAATGAAAAAGGTATAATTCATAAGCCTTTTACAGAAGACTTGAAATTTTTTTTTAAACTTTAACTATTTCCCTTGTTGCTTGCAACCCAAGAAGTGAATACATTGCTTATTGGATTACTGATGCTTTGACCAAGGCAGTGTACTGTGAGTTATTATTTAAACAAGACAGACTGTGCATTACACAAAGAACAGGAGCAGTCTGCTGTCCCAGGCACCTGGGATAGTTCTGGTAAGAAGTGGAAAGGTATGAATGAAAAAGTGTTATTTAGATAAAATAAAATAAAGTGAAAAGATTAGAAAACTTTAATACCTTTGGCATATACATTCAACACATGAAAGAATTAACAATAAAGAAGAACCTTCCCTAAGTACCATTTCTACCAAGAGGGAACTTAAAAGTTAGATATTGAAATGTACTAATAAAAACTCAGCTGTGCAAGCCCTAGCCGGACCAAATCACAGCACGGCTTAGGGAGTTGGGGGTGGAGTTTCACAATAGCTGTGAAGCTATTGGCAATTATTAGCTTTAGGGAGTGGGGAGTCAGTTTTCTCTAAGAGCATGGCCCCTGGTAAGTCCAACTACACTCCTGGGGAAGGCTAGGCAGCCAAGAATATTTGGGCAGCACAAATTTGTCTTGATGGGTTATATAAAAACAGGACACAAAGTCGGGCAGGGAGGGAAGAGGGGGATCTGGGAAGAGTTGTGGAGGGGTGAATATGATCAACACATTGTACAAAATCCTCAAAGAACTAATAAAATCATTTTCAAAATTTAACTCTGACAACATGGAGAACTGGTGAACTGGTGAAAATCCCCTTTAAAATAATTTAAAACAGCTTTATAGCACTTCATTGAAGCAAATTTAAACACAGTAAAGTGAAAAAAAATTAAGGCGTGAATTGTGAGTTTATGTGTTTGGGTTTAGTCACATGAATTTCTCACACATCCATGCTGCGTAGCTGAGTCTTTCTAGTTTTTTAAAGAAAGGTTTTGTTTTTCAGCATGGAACTCACAGCAAACTTTTTCACCACAGCAGCTCAACTGTGGAACTAGGCTCCTATTGTGACACTTCAGGGAAAACAGCCTCAAACTGGCCTTCATAAGAAATAATGAAGTTTTGTGTGTAGTCGATCATATGTAATTTTTCCTAGAATTGATTGGAATGGAATGAAACTTGGACTAGAAAAAAAAATCTCCCTGGGCTCAATTCACTTGCTTTCTGTTGAGTTTGAAAGTCAGCCACCTTGGAGGTCACACAGTTGAGCAGTTGATTATTCTGAGTTATGCTACAAATGGCGTAACACTTCAGATGTGGGAGTCATGAGGGTCATGGCCATCTAAATTGTTTTTCAGGAGTTTGGGGGCCTCTTTGGTGCTCCTCAGACAAGCTGAAGGCACTGACTCTTGTCCCCACACAGGTGCCTGATGGGTAATTTATTTGTGGTCAAATGAGCAAAGCCATGCTCCGCTGCCTCATTAATAATACGCCATTATGCCCTTTGTGTTTCCAGTGATTGGCATATTGCATGGTGGCCAAAACTAACCTGGCTCAGTGACAAGATGTTGACAATATGCTCTTCATAACATGTAATTCTCCAGTGGCCCAGGACAAGAGATAATCCTCCTCCTCTTTCTTCCTTCCTTCCTTCCTTCCTTCCTTCCTTCCTTCCTTCCTTCCTTCCTTCCTTTCTTTCTTTCTTTCTTTCTTTCTTTCTTCTCTCTCTCTCTCTCTCTCTCTCTCTCTCTCTCTCTCTCTCTCTCTCTCTCTCTCTCTCTCTCTCTCTCTCTCTCTCTCTCTCTTTAAAGACATGGTCTCATTATGTAATGTTGAATAGCCTAGAATTAACTATGTAGACCAGGCTGGTCTTGAGCTCACTGAGATACACCTACGTCTTCCCTCTAGAGTGCTGGGATCAAAAGTGCATATCACCATTCCTGACTAAGGATAATCTTTTTAAGTAGAATATTTCAGCTTTAGGGAAATACATATCTTTGTTGCCTTTGTTTTTTCAAGGTATTAATTCTCATAACTCAAAGTCTTAAGTAAAATTCAGTCATTTATAGTAATGTTTGAGTTAGTCCTGACTCAAAGTCTAAGAGAGTGGAAATAGCATGTCTCTAGCATCCTTTAAA